CAAACACCTCTCCCGTCTTCCTAAAAAACAAAAATCATTGCATGACTTGTCATACACCCAGTGGCGGATCTAGAAACGCGATAGGGGGGCTAAATAGATAGTAAAGGGTTAAAAATCTTAATAGCACTACTGCAGCATACTAAATTATGTAGTAGATATTACCAGAAACACAAGTAGCAATATTCATTTGGAATGCTCAAATATCATTGAGTACAAGTTCGTGGGTAGAGAAACATAGCAAATAAAAAGCTCTAACAATTGACAACAAAAAGTCCAAAATGATCATTCATTTCTTCATTGCATTTTATTCACAGCTACAAAGATAAACAAAGAAAGAAGTGTCAACCTGCTTACTACTAATATAAGGAACTTGTTCATCCAAGTATGCAAATTGAATCATTATCAGAGATCAAATCTAAATATAGTGGCAAGACCACAATTCACAAGAGTTGCTCACGATTCAGAGACTTGCTCACCTTGTAGCCCTGCAGCCGGGCGACTAGGCAAGGGGAAACTGGAGAGGCCGAGAGGGCACAGCCTTGCTATCGACTAGGCAACCGAGGTAGGCAGGGAGGGAGGCACCGCGAGATGGAGGGATTGCTAGGTGAATTAGGTCACAAGCCAGGGCTGGGCCTCTAAACATCCAATTTTTGGGCTGTTATATTGGGCTAGAATGAAGGAGGGGTAGTGGGTGCTCATTAGGCTAGACCTGGGCTGTAGCCTGGGCCCTTGGTCTGCCCCTGCATACAACTATCCTGGTTCATCGAGAATGCATAAATAAATAGCAAGTACATTGAACACAAAGAAAGGAACTAGCAGGCCTCACTGACTATATGCATCCAACATAACAAAGAATATATATCTTGGTCACAGAATATATAAAACATATATAGCATAACGATCCATCTAGACATCCCAACAAACAAAGAAACGAATACAGCCTTAGACCTATAATTAATTCATTCCAGACCATAAAACTAGAAGTCAGGTCCTAAATGAATACAACCTTAGGCCCATAAGACACCTGGGTTGCTACATCGGTAGTCAAGTCCTTCAAATTGGTAGTGTCCCTATCAACCCACTAGTTGGAAATCAGCTGTATGAGCCTTAAGCTTAGTGTTGGCCCGCACATCAATCCTACAGGCTGTACTGTTGTCCATCAAAAAAATGGACAAGAAAATCATGAAATCCCTAGATTTGTCCCGACAACTACTAAGATGCGGATGGGAGATCCATGAATAAGTCATAGCACAACAACTACCCAACCAGTACAAGAAATCGAACAAAAAGGGAAAGAAGAGAGCATACCCTACGGGAACCCAAGCTAGATTGAGCCACTTCAAAGGTGAATCTTGACTTGGCCGCAAGTTCTCCACTTTTGCCGACCACACCATCTTTACACGTCCATCAAGATGCGGGCAAGAGCTGCGGTGGCGGCGGTAGGTGGGTGGGTGGTCGCAGGGTGGGATTGGCGGCGCCAGGAATGGCGGATGCGGCGGTTGTGGCCGACTACGATGGCTAAAATGAGGGCTAGGGTTTCTCAAGGCTAAAGGTGACACCTTCTTCACACGCCCATCAAGATGCGGGCAGGAGCAGCGGCGGTAGCGGCAAGCGGCGCAGGGTGGGATTGGCGGCGGCAGGAGTGGAAGATGCGGCGATTGGGTCTCTCAAGACTAAAGGCGACACGGTCTGGTTCAACCAAGTGAAGTGTGCGGCTTGGGTCCAGAATAGATCCAGGGGCAATAAGCATCATTTTGAAAAGTTTCACTCTCCCAAACAGCTGAAAAGATTAAAATACTGGCTGTAGAGGGCTGAGCCCCTCCCGGTCTCTCTCTTGGATTGTAACTCAAAACACTAATTTGGAGGGCTTAGCCCCTTCCACCCACCAGCATCGCCGGAATCAGTGGAATGAATTTCAAGTGGGGGATCGATTCGATCCTCCCCGTTGATGACCTCAAAAAAAATACTGGCTGCAGTTTTTTGTGGCAAATATACTTGAATTCATAAGGGTACTTGGCCAATTTTCGAGTTGTGGTGTCCAACAACAAATAAGACGCTTGAGTGATGTCCCTGAGCAAATTTTGCCTAATTAGTTCATTCTAGACCATAAAACTAAAAGTGTAACATGAGTTACCAAATAAGGCTGAGATAACAACCCTAAATTTTAGAAGAACTCTACTTGGCTTGGCTGCTTAATGAGGATAACAACACTGAATTCTTTTGTAGAGATGCAAATGATAGAAAAAGAAAGAATAATATATTCTACTTGCAGAATGAAAATGGTATTGTTGAGGATGAATGAGAGAACATCATCACTTCCCATACCTAAAAGCTACATGGAGAGCATTTAGCAGGCTGGGCCAATGCCGCCCAACGTGCCTAAGATGCAGCTCAAGCACAGTCCTAAACATCGGGCTGCACCGTGCCATGTCATGCTCGGGCCGAGACAAAACAGTGTGATTCGGCTCAGGCTAACGGTCTAAAAGCATCTCCAAGAGTCTTTCTAGCGCTCACTCTCTAAATCATTGTCTGGAGAGTTATTTGCATAAAAACGTTTTTTATATTATTCCGTTCTCCAACAGCTTTTCTATATCTTTGGTTGTACTCTAGAGAGCTATTCTCATTTCCTATCTTTGGCTAGCGAGAAATGCGGAATAAATAACAACTATATTTAGATAGCCAATTAAAGAGTCTATTGAAGGATATTTTTACATCAAAATCTTAGCGATTAGAAAGAATTTAGAGCCTCTGGAGGTTGCTGGCTGCGTCATGTATTTGTGCTTTATTATTATCGTTTTCCTTACTAGGTAGCGTGCCCGTGCATTGCTACGGGATAGCTAATATTTTGTACTAAAAACACACGGATCGCACGATAAGATAACAATACTGTAAAAATTAAATACCAACGTTAAAATGACATTCAAACAACCAAACCTGAAATTCATGCGACACTTTTCACACAGACAAACATAATTGTCACAAATTTAATTCCATTGCCTAGTAACTACTACTCTATTGAGATGTCCTCTGCAGCGCAGAGCTCCATAGTCCATACTGGATATACATATATAAAACTGTCTTGCTTAAGTGAACACATCCTAATGTAAGGGTACTCCTCCTCAGCGTCGATGCAAAGTCTTCTTGAGATAACTGAAGGTCATCACCATCAGCCCACAAATGCAAACCGAATCACAGAATTAGGTTCTGATGAATCACACTGCAAACCTTGATATGGCAGCTATGTCTTATTGTCACATTAAAGAAAACCAAAATACCAGCCATCTCTTCTCCAAGAACAGGAAAGAAACACCTCTGAGCTATGCTCAAGAGTCCTCTCCTTTCAGGGCATTTCCTATCGCTGACATATCACCGCTCGAATATAGTGCCTCGTCAATTTTTGGAAAGTCAATTTTTGGTCTTAACACAGGACTATCAGAACACAGAAGCAGAGGATTAACCATAAGAGGAGTCAAAATAATGAAAATAAAAAATTAAAAAAAAATTGAGGTTGCTTCAGATGTGAGATGCTGGTGAGCTAGCACCTTGGTGATGAGCGATTGACAACACGGTGTGCGTGTGACGTGTCTCTCGGCAGGTTGTGGTTGTAGGTGACAGGTGGAGACAAGGTACATGCGGCGACGAGTGAAGAACGAGGATAGGATGCCGTGCCGAAGAACCGTGGGGGCGGAGAAGGGCGGATCGAGGCTTACGTTCGAGGGACAGGTGATCGTGTGGTGTACGTCTACTGTACCTGGCTACACGGTGGGAGGACGTCGAGGGAGGTTTCCAGATTACGCCACAAAATCTGGGGTTCGCTGGTTGAGCCACAAAGCCATGCATCGTACCGGGACGCTCGTGCGGCGTGCGTTGGCCGAAGATGGAAATTCTGGCGATCGCGATACGATTTCGGATGGTCGTGCGGCGACATCGCGAGGATCACATCGCGGAGATGGAGGGATCGCGGACATCGCGGAATTTGCCATGGAGGACGTAATTGGAATTTACGCCCCTACGTTGGATTTATTTAGCGTAGGAGGTTATGTGAAAATAGGTCGTGCCACCCTTTGGAGATATAAATATGTGGCACCTAGGGTTGAGAGTTGCAGGACGTTTTGGACTCCCGGCGAGTTACTATTCACGCGTGAACAGTACCCGTGAACAGTACCCGTGAACAGTACCCGTGCCACCGGGGTTCCACGGTTCAATTTTCCTCTCTCCGGTCTAGCCTAGGGTTTGAATTCTAGTGAGAGGTTTTTGTTGATCTCTCCGATTAAGAGAGGGAGGATGTTCGGGCGGAGGCTAGATGCACTTTTGTAAGTTCAATTACTCAATTTAATCTTTCATCTATAATGATTGATCTTGTGCATCTCGATTGGTTCTTTACAATTCTCGTCAGCATCTGACATAGTCTGCTTGTTTTATTTTTATCTCAAGATCCGTAAGTCCGATTGACGTGATTCCAGTTGGGTTAGTTTCGTAATTTCATCTAGTTTAATCTGACAAATTTTTAGGTCGATCGGAGTTATGGATTTTCGTCCACATCAGGTTTACTAGGTACATAGAGTTCTGTCCAGATTTGAAAAACGTGATTTATTCAGGTTTTGTGTTTAGGGGAAGGGTTAGAAATTTTTGTTAGAAAGTTTTGGCTTCCGCGACCATTCACCCCCCCTCTGGTCGCCCGTTACGATCCTTCAAGATGTAGTGCAATTAAGCAAGACAGCAGGAGATAATGTCTTATTGAAACATAATGAGGAAGAAATACCTCACTTGATTAATACTTTAAGTAATTTTTGTCACCGTAAAGCTTAGTTTTTTTAGAATCTTCACAGTAGAGTTCAATAAAGAAATAGAATGATTGCTTATTTTAATCAGCACATAGCTTTTTTTTCAGCAGAAGTCGGTTTTGTCTAACTGCAATAAGATTTAATAATGTTTTGGTCAGTCTCAGGAATTATATGAGCTGCTATGGTCATACATACCGATTAATCTCCATCAGATCCTTATAGCTCCACAAGAATCCTAAGATAAAAGAAACAGAACTAAATCAGGATTTAATCCTTGCCACAATAAAACTAAAAACATAAGCATGATTTATTTTCACTGTATATTAGAGCATTGATCTTTTTAGCATGAATACAAAAGGAAATAATAATCTATTGCAGGGTCAACCTGTACAGATATACCTGTTCCCAAACAGCTCTTCATCAGGATCTAAAGTTTCAAGTATGTCCTGCGTCTGTATGTTGCTCATGCCTGATATCCACCTGATTAGACATCCAAAATTAGTCAGAATTTTTTATACAAATGCAGAAACATGATAGGTCGAAATAAGTTTTTGGTGAGTGAATATAATTTAGATTTTTGGTTCTTCCTGTATGCTCATTTCCGAATTCAATGTACAAGTAAGTTGCTAGTAAGAAAAATAACTTGCATTGTCATTTTCATTAGTATGCATCTGCATTTAAATTAGAAATCTGTTTTCCTTTTATATATTTTATCACAAATAGAAAAACCAGAAACAATGGTTTCAGGTTCCGGTTCATATCTATTGTCATAGAATTCAGTCAGAAAGTGGAGAAGTTGTATGGCATGTAATGGGGCATGAATGCAATAGAACAAAGAGGTGTGCAAATATTTCTAGAACTACAAAGGCAACTAATGCTGAAATTCCAATGGAATCTTAGTTTGGCATAAATATGCACTTCACGTACTGGCACATGTTACCTATCTCAAGAATGAATAGGCGAGCAAATTGGTAAATGTCTTTTAAGCACTGGCAGTAACCAAGTGATACCTGTGATAGGTTTGGTGTCTATTTTCTAGTGGCTGAAAAATGAAATTTCCTAATATGTAATCAATATATAACTGCAATAAACCAAAACAGGGCCTCAGTACCTCCTAAAGCCGAGCTCGAGAAATGATACAGTACTATTTTTTATATTCCCGAAGTAAAATAATCTCATGTTCTGCGTAGACATTCAGACCATAGAGGAACCGTGACAGAGAACAAAATTAAAATTGACTGATATTGTATAACCATATTAGTAATAATAGGGGATGACAATTGTGGACTCTAGGGTGGCAAGATAAGTAATCTGTTGGAGATGATCTAGCCACATCAACACATGAAGATCAAACTCAACATAAAGGTAAACTAAGTTAAAAATAGGTAACTTTGTTTGTTCATGAAAGAACAGTTCAAGTTGACTGTTATTCCATAGTTCCTCCAAAGTTGGAGTCTGCTCCAGGATAGTTTGGAGGAATATATATTTTTATGTGCTGCATGAACAAATAGTTCATATTTTAATTTAGGAGATGCATTGCATTTTCTTCATCAGGAAATGGAAATAGGAAACGGAAATTGTTAAACCACTTATACAACCATGAAGGACTGGCCTACTCCCTAATTTTTCTGTTAGCCTTTCTGAATCCATGCACTGTTACTACAAAGTGGACTGATAATCAAGAATGAAGATTAGCAATTGGCACATACTTGATCAACAAATTTCAGGACCTATTGGCAATCAAGGTGCGCAGAGGCAATAAGATGCATAATAACTATCCTACGAAAGCATTAGGTAAAATCTCCCCTCTGTATTTTAGCCATGGTGTTTGTAGCAAGCAAGGTTCAAATCACTAACAAAAGACCTCATATATGAAGAGATACTTTCAATATGAAAGCCTCCTAGTTCCAGTTGAAACATACCATTTTAAATATGAAAGCCTCTTAGTTCCACCAATTGTTTATATGTAACTCCAAATTTCAATCCACCAGCTAGAGACCAAAAAAGAATTAAGAGGGTTGAGTCATCAGCAGCCTGGGGGCAGTAGCCTGGGAGAAGATTAGACATGTTCCTAGAACAAATTAACAAAATACCTTCATCTGTGAACCACTCAGACTGCTTAGCTCCCCAATAAAAAGCACAGCGGAGGTTGTGCCATCACCTCTTGTGTCATCCCGTGCCACAGCCGTCCTTGCAATCATGATTGCAGTTGAGTTCTGAATTTGCTACAAATAAATGGCGCAAGACATCAAATCAAAGAAAACACCACCAAGCACATATATCATCAGGATGTTAATAGAATGTTTCTATAAAAGGTAAAGCAATACCATTTTCTTCAAGAGTGTGTTCCCATCCTTAGTCAGCTTCAGGTCACCAGCCAGGGGCGAATCCAGGATATCATGTCATTGGGGTCAAGGACTAAGCATCGGGGTCAAACACATGTTGATTTTCTATTTGAAAGAGTAATTTGCAGGTGGATTAAAGAACTTTAAGTGTATTTCTGGCAAGTTACTGGGGTCAGCTGACCCCGATGGATACACATAGATTCGCCCCTGTCACCAGCTCCACCCACAAAGCCTGCAACCAGATTAAATTAGGACTGTAAATTGGATTAGTGCATGCCAAAAAGAAATACCAAGAAAAATCAACAAGCACATGAAAGAGAACAACAGAAATCCTTTCACGAATTCAACCAGTAGACGCCTCTAGTGTCCAGTCTCGATCTTTCGTGAGAAGAGTAACAAGAGAAATAAATCTGAGCACGCAAGAGCTAACTATGGGGACAGAGAAGAAGAGTTATATGGATTGAACAGGCGGCGAACGAAGGGAAGATTGTGCTACACGGAGGGGAAGAAGCTTTTCTTGCGGGGGCAGGTTTCAAACGCACCGTTGCTAGAAGCAAAGGCAACCAAATTGAATCTCACCTTGCAGGCGGTTGGGTGAGGCCTGTGCACGTCGTCCAGCGGGCGGGTGCCGCCGTTGTCGCCCCACGCACCCCGAGCCCCGCGGCCAGGTTCGCGCGCCATGATCCCGCGGCTGGGCACTGGCGTCGCCGCCCCGCGCACTTGAGCCCATGGCATATGCATGATGCTATCATTGCCGTTGAATTAGTTATGGTAATGGGCATCACGCCAGGTACAGAAAAGCTAATCCGTTGAATTAGTTATGGCAATGGGAGACATCACACCAGTTTGAAGGGGGAAAATCAATCAGAGAACGAAAGTGAATTGCAACACACCTGCTATGGTTGCGACAAACTGACTTTAAAATGATGCAGCCAAACCACACACCTGCTATTCAGGTTTACAGCCCAGCACGACAGCAGGACGCTAATCGGATTGAATCGTGCATCCATCCCACCCTCAGCTTACACTAACCAAACAATCCTAGCATACTCCAAAACCACACAACGGGCATACTCCAAAACCACTCAAACTGTATGCAACAGAACATCTGCTATATTATCTGCTATATATCTAAAAGCTCTATATTATCTGCTATATATATCTGAAAGCTCCAACATGTATTCTGAACAAGAACATTCATGAACAAGATAGGCCTGAACAAGCAAACCGGTTGGTCCATACATGAACAAGAACACGATAGTGAGCAGATTATTTCAATTTCGTTAACAAAATTAAAGGGGAAAAGGTCAAAGCTTTACCTTGGACTGAACAGGTCCACGCCGACCTCCTCCATGGACACGTCCAGACCGTTGTTGAAGACGGTGGCTGCCGGCGGCAGGTCATACAGAGGTGGGGCATTCTTGGCTGCTGGGGAGGCGGACAACTTCCTCTTGGGGGCTCCAACCTTCTGCGCCGCATCTGGGACCGCGTGCCGGCCTTGCTGATGCCGCCGCATCACCTGCTGTGCGCCGCATCTGGGACCGCGTGCCGGCCTTGCCGATGCCGCCGCATCACCTGCTGCGAGGGTGGAGGAGGGGGCCTCTGCGGCGCTTGAGGGGCCGGTGTGGCAGCGTTGGGACGAGGGCCGGTGGTGGCAGAATCCATCGGGAGAGCACCGGATTGGGGGTGGCTGCGACGATCGTCGAGTGGGAGGCGACGGAGGCTGATGGGGACCTCAGGGCGGTGGCCGGAGAGGAGGAGCTCGATGCAGCCGCCGAGGAGCGAGGCGGCGGAGGGGACGGGAAATCATGCTAGACGGTCCGGCGCGTGGGGAAGGAAGTGGGAAGAACCATCGAGGATGCGATGGGACAGTACAGCGCGAGGTTTCCATCGCGAGTGGACAGGGGAGGTTACGCGCGGTATCGCAAGGGGAGGCCTGACCCAAATCCGGCCATCGCCGGCGAGACAGAGGTGGCTGCCGGAGCTAGGGAGGTCGCCGTGGCACGTGGCGGCGGTGGAAGTTGAGAGGGCGCGGCTTCTGTCGCTCGAGTGCTACGGCGGCGCCCTGCCCTGAGGTTCATCCCGTGGGGGAGAGGAGAGGAGTCCGTGAGTGGGAGAGGAGGGGTCGGTGTGGGAGAGAGGAGGGGTCGGGGGAGCAAGGGGGTCGCGCGAGAGGATAGGACGATCGCACGGACAAAAAGGAGGAGCGACAAAAAAAAATCACACCAAAAAATTATGTTAGTTTTATTCTTTTTACTCGTAGGAGATTCTCTCACCTCGCTCCAATGTCGTGGACCTTCGGTGCGTACTGTACTGTACGTGGTGGCTGAGCATAATACAGCCAGAGCCAGGGCGGCAGGTGCTTATGGTTGATCATAAAAAATAAAAAATACAAAGACCAATTTGCCTTCCCAACTCTATCCACTCATACCGTCTCTTCCGTCTCCGTCCCGTGGACTCGCCGGCGAGAAAAACGAAAAGCGACTTCGCCTCCGCCTCTGGCCTTCCCACTCCAGTCCCCCTCCTCTCCTAGCGTCGGTGAGCCGCTGCACTGCAGTCCCCGTTCCCCTTCGGCGTCGCCGCTGCACGCCGACCCACTCCGTCGCCGCCATCCGCTGTGTCTCCTCCTCACGCCGTTGCCGCGAGGTAGCTCTTCCGGGAGCACGGGGATGACGGCGAGTTCTAGGGCTCCGTCACGCCGCCGGCCACCAATCCCGCGGCCAGGGATTTCTTCTCCGACCCCGACCTTAATGTGAGTCGTGGCCTTCCTCCTCGAAGCGGATCCGGCGGATTGGAGTGGCTGGAGGGTCCCGACCACAACAGGTCAACAGGTGCTACTGTCGTCGGCAACGCAGGTGTGATTGGAAGTGGTGCAGGTCCAAGGCCTCTTGTCTCCGGCAACGCACCAAGGGATTGGAGCCAGTGGTGGCACTCTATGGCTAGCTGATGCCGCTGCACTTCTAGAGGAAGTGGACGGACCTTTTCGCCATGAAGCTTCTGTGAGTAATGTAAAAAACTCAAAATAATATGTTTGGAAGTGCTGTCTTTATATTCTGAACAATCCAGAAAATGCAGAGCTAATTATGCAGTTCTACATATTATTCACCCCAACAAAGTTGATTGAGAAAAAAAATGCATGGTACAGTGGCCTAATTAGGAGCTAGCATCTTTTTATTGCCATTTAGAATTTGGTAACTTGCAATACCTTATAGTCTAACATTAGCTGTATTGCATTGACTTAGTGATGCTGCTATGTTTGTGGGATTGTTAAGGTAGGTGACGATGGAAAACTGAAAACAAACACCAGTAATGATTCCTTTTTTATGTGATCTATTTGCCACTCGAATCACGAAGAATCTCCCAATGTTAGGACTGAGAAAAAATCTCGTTATTTAGCAACACGGCGCTAGATGTGACACTTCTCTGGAAGATAAAAGCTGGATAGTTTGGAGTCAGTATAAATAAGTGGCACATTGGGAGGGAGTGTCAGGTTCTAGCCAAGATTTAGAGATTCTGCACCTCTGGAGCATCGGGTTCCAGATGCCCTCAATGCATAGCTTTATGTTATGGCCACGCTTCTTTAGCTGAATCTGAATCTCCCTCCGTCCACTTCTTCTTTACATTGACTCGAAACCATCCAGCTTTATCTTCCAGATTTGGACTGTCATTATCTAGCATTGTATGCTTAATACCGGGATTATTGTTGAGTCCTAACATTGGGAGACTATTGCAGATTCGAGTTTTTCTAGCTCAGTACCATACCATGTCAATTTCTTCTTTCGTTATAGTTCAATTTCTTAGGGAAGGTCATCGAGCGGAGTTGTACTTACTGTGTTTCATGACTACATACTTTTGGAAGATTGGCATGTTCAACAGAAAAGTGTCGTGGAAATGCGTATGTTGCGTTGGATTTGCGGTCATACAAGAAGGGATCGAGTTCGGAACGATGATATACGTGATAGATTAGGGGTAGCACCAATTGAAGAAAAGCTTGTCCAACACCGGTTGAGATGGTTTGGACATGTCCAACGGAGACATCCAGAGACACCGGTGCGTAGTGGAATCCTAAGCCAGGATAGTAACGTGAAGAGAGGTAGAGGAAGACCGAAGTTGACTTGAGTAGAGGCAATAAAAGGAGACTTGAAAGGATGGAATATACCCAAGGACTTAGCCTTAGATAGGAGTGCTTGGAAAACAGCTATTCACGTGCCTGAACCTTGATTGCTTCTGCTGTGTTTCAACTCTAGCCTACCCCAACTTGTTTGGGACTTAAAGGCTTTGTTGTTGTTGTTGTTGTTGGCTCTTGCCTTGCCAATTGTGGAAATAAAAACAGAATTTATAGGAATAGTTTTGTTCCTTCTACTCAATCAGAAATATTAATATCTCCAACTTCTACTCAAAATTCCTTCAGGAATGAAATGAACCTGATTTGTTGCTTTGTGACCCACAGGTACTGCTGGCGGCTGTAAGCATTTAGCTGCACTTGGAGATGCTTATTTGGAGTATTTGAAGTATTTAGTTGGCTCTCCGTCCTGTCAGTTATGTGCTTGTGCTTCATAAAAAAGAGTTACATTTTCTTCTACTAGGGCTTTGGAGACTGCCCATATGAAGAGTAGATTTCTTGTTCTTTGTGTCATTGTCTGTCTCATGGCTCAGATGGGAGATGCCAATGTCGTGCTACTGGGGAATAATCTGACCTTGTCCTTTGATGACATTGCGGCAAGCTTTTGTGAGTCCTGCAATCCTTACAATCATTTAATTTTGACTGACCAACTGCTAGCATTGTATGCCACTTAATTTAAAACTTTTTGTTTGCATGGCTTGCCTATATGCTCAATTTAGGTGTTATCGGCCTGTTCGGTTGGCTGGTTCGTATCGTTGCTGGTTCGTTTATGTGAGAGAGAAGTACTGCTGGCTGGTTCATGTGAACAGTGTCCATGTGAGGGGGCTGGCCAGCCCAGCCAGCCAGCCCGCCCCAGCCGAACACGGCGTATGTTTGACCTTCTTGCTTACACTGTACTAGCTAATTCATGGTGACGAGTGAGTCCATTGCACTGCCTACTATCATGCTCTTGTGGCTGTTTTATACCAGTTCTCTGACTAACATTAGGCTTGGGCTTTTGATTGTGTACGCTTCATTTTTTTCTTACTCTTATCCTTTTTGACATTCATCAAATATTTTATTTTCCTTAAGGATTCAAACATGCCATTTCAATTGGATTGCAGCTCCAGGAGTGAAAGGGTCAGGAGTCAATGGCTTAGTTTATGCTTCTGAACCTTTGAATGCCTGCAGCCCGTTAACAATCAAGGCAGTCAAGGGCCCGCCATCTCCCTTTGCATTAATTGTAAGAGGCGGATGCACATTTGATGAGAAAGTAAAAAATGCACAGGATGCTGGATTCAAAGCTGCAATTGTGTATGACAATGAAAATAGTGGGGTCCTGGTTTCAAGTAATTTTCCTTGTCACTAGTACTTGCTCCTTTTCATTTTCTTATTAATGCAACTTGTGTAGATGCATGATGCACTTTATCTATAGCATTGTGAAGTTGAATAGATAGCCATGCACTAAGTAGAGACAAGACTGGTGCACAAGCAAATTGCTCTCAGCTCTGCTCTCTACAAATTAGTCAAAAAAATTATTTCTGTTGATCATGTTCAAATATACAACAAAAATTAACTGCATAACTGGATGCAATTTCATTCCACTAATTTATATTGGCAATTGATTGTGTACCTTCTCTATCTAACTAGAAATGTTGCAGTGGCTGGAAGCTCAAGTGGCATACATATATATGCTGTTTTCATTTCGAAGGCCTCAGGAGAGGTGTTGAAGAAATTTTTAGGCCATACTGATGTAGAGGTGTGGATACTACCTACATTCGAGAACTCAGCCTGGTCAATCATGGCAATCTCATTCATATCACTGCTTGCCATGTCTACTGTATTAGCTACGTGTTTCTTTGTGAGAAGGCATCGAATAAGGAGAGACCACCCTAGAATCCCAGAAGCTAGAGAGTTCCATGGAATGAACAGTCAATTAGTTAAGGCAATGCCAAGTCTTATTTTCACAAAAGTGCAAGAAGATAACTGCACATCGTCAATGTGCGCCATTTGTTTGGAAGACTACAATGTTGGAGAAAAGCTGAGAGTGCTGCCTTGTCGTCACAGTATGTTTGTCTCACTTTTAACACCTTACTTTTTTTGTCATATTATGCTACTATAATAGTATGACTGGGACTTTACCGCATCCAACTGATCTGCTATACTGTACTTTACAGTCTTCTGATTTGGGATGAAAAGAAACAAAACCTTGTGCAAGATCTGTATGAAACCCAACAAGAACTAGACAAAACAAAGCAGTAATTTAAAAATGTAACAAAAATATATATAGCAAGTTCATTTAAACAAACTAATTTTAATTGGTGTGGGGGACATCTGGGCATCCCTTTTCTTGTAGTAATCACTTAATGCTTATGTTTAGAGAACATTACAGATTTTCTTGATTTATTACTGAA